CGTCATGCCTCACAATCTAATCAAATCACATCAACTTCAGTTCGTACTGTAACTGTCATCACTGCCCTTAAAAGTAGCAAGCAACTGAAGCAAGTGCAATTATGGAGGGTGGAGATTTGGAGTATTTCATCAAAAATAATTGTACTAAACTTCCGCTACAGCAGCAACTAAAAATGAAATCTGATGACAGGCCAATGATCAAACTGGAGCTGTGTACAGAGAGGGAAAAAGGAGTGAATCGGACGTAAAACTTTAAATAATAAACAGCGGATTTCTAACATTTGACATTTCATGTGGCCGGACTGGGTCAGTTTCCAGGGCTGCATTTTAGTCCCAGTCCGCCCCTGCTTTCATCGCACATTTCTGATCAGTTCATCTTTAAGTCACAGTCCACATGTGTGCCAGATCTGAAAAGGTTCCCTCTATGCATTCCTGGGAGAACGAGGCGTACGGACACACATATGTTTGGAAAGTTATTTCTGACGGACAACTCAAACATATTATGCCTCAGGCCGCAGATGTCGCCAGAGAAAGGCATACAAAGTGTGATTTGATTTGTAGGCATTATACACAGAAAGCTGAAGAAAAGGAAAAAACAAATGATAGAGCAGTAAGAGAGTGTTTTTCTCACTTCCTGAGGTGCTTGAAGAGAGTCTGCATGGTGTCGTGGTTGCAGACGGGAAGCTGTCGGACCAGGTCTTTGATGGACTGAACCCGCTGCTTGTAGTCTGGACTCTCTGCACAACAGAAAACACAACATTTATCAAAGTGAATCATCTGGATTCATCAAAGAGTCTCATGCCTCCTTCTGTTGTTTCACTGACTACTTCCACATCCACAACATATCACATTGTTTTACTTATTCCCAATAAAAGACAATATGAATACTACGCTGTTTACAAAGAGGCTAACGGGTACGGTTTCACAGTTTTGGCTCTCCAAAACCCAGGTTCTTTCCGGGCCAACAAACCGGGCTGAGTATGCTAAACTAGTGAGAGAATTGTTGGCAAGGGGGCTACAACTACAACAAAATGAACATATTTGACCGTGATTTAATTGTAATACACGTTTCAAAATGATGCCGAAGTAACAACATACTGATACCGGGTTAGTAAAAACCATGAATTAATGCTTTGATTAGTCTGCAGACAGACGGCAGGCGAAAAACCTTTTTAAATCCTTTTTTTCTGAATGGAGTTTGGCTACGCTAACGTTGTATATGCTCCGACCGTCCACACTCACAACAACGGCCTATACCAGGGGTGCCCAACCTTTTTTGAACCGAGAGCTACTTTTAAAGTTGCCAGTCTGCCGAGATCTACCAGTCCAAATAGAGAGGCGTAGCCATTACTGACAGCCTACAACCAGGTAAATACACACTTCTACTTGTATAAAACTGACCTTTGTACGATTAATACTTAATAAAATACTGCAATGCTTTATCTTACCTCTTTCTATTCTACACACATACAAGTATTTAACTGAAGTTACACAACAGTGTTGTGGATACAGAGTTGGAGTTTATTCACACGTCACATACTACAGTGGGTAATGTTTAAGAAACATTGAACAGTGCTGCCACATATGACACAGGGAAAAAAGAAAATACTCTGAACCCTTTCTTTGCCATTATATAAAAATAGTGTTGCTACAAAAGTATAAATTAGGCTTACTAATAAGACAACTCAGATCTGAAGCTACACAGGAATCTGCTGCAACAGGGCAATACAAAAGACAAAATTAATAGAATCAAACCTTTTTTTGTTGCATTTTAGTAGATTATAAAAAGAAATGCCTTTAAAATAGGATGCAAGCAACACTAGTTTCTTAACCTGAATTGATGATAGACTATAATCAATTTAAGTTTGCATTCTTATACCATTGTGTACAATAATTATAATGAATAAGTTCAAACAAACTAAAACTTACAGCAGATTAATAACGGTATCTAACTTGAGTTTTTATTATATCAAAAACCTGTTGAAATGCTACTGTTATTTTTACTGTCCCCCAAAAGCGTGTCGGCAGCCTCCAGGAGACTTCATGTGTTTCGCAAGAACGTGACTGACACGTTAAGATGCTATGCCTATGGTAGCAGCCTTGCTCTTGTGGTGAAAATGGCCTGCTGTGCATTTAGCGTCCTTTCAGGCCCCTCCCCTTTTGGGAGCGTAGGGCAGAATTTGGAGGGAATTCCGTCTCGTAGCGTTTGTGCACTGTTTTGAAATGCCGCTCCTAAATTACCCTTCTTCGATAAAGCCACGCTCGCATTGCAGATGAGATAGATGGACTTTGAATTGGAATAGATACAAAAATAAACATCCTCCCACTCGGAGTGAAAATTATATTGTTTTGCTTCTGCCATAATTGCGGTCTTGTGTGTGTGCGGACTGTCACTCCTGTTGACACGGACAACGTTAGCGAACTAGTGCACACTGCCACTGCTCACCAGCCACGCCCCGACACATGGGTCACGCCGGCCAATCACAAAGCTTTGATGCGTTCAAGTGCATTATTCTGGCACAGGAAGATTATGTCACAGGACATTAACGATAAAACTGAATATGTTGTTCTATTTGTAGACACATCTCGCGATCGACTGGGAATCTCCCCGCGATCGACCGGTCGATCGCGATCGACTGGTTGGGCACCCCTGGCCTATACAGACATAAATAAACCAGCGACTGTATTCGCCATGACACAGACAGTCTGTGGTTTGTACTGGTTTAACTTTTGTCTAGTTTCTGAACAGATATGAGGAGCTGTGAGCTCTGAGTGCTAACAGCTAAAGGCTGATGTTGGTTTTGTGGTTGTGGTGCAGCTGTGTGTTTCACGTACTGATTGCGCTGATGAAGTCGTGGAAGAGAGCGCAGCTCTCTGAAGTACATCTGTAACGCTCCAGTGATCACATGGAAGTCCTACCACTTGGAGTCTGACAGGTTCACCTTTGATATATATTTATTTTAGTGCCATGCAGGTTGAAACTGTCACGGAAGAAAATTGTTGAACTTTCCAAAGAAGTTCTATTTATTGTCTATTTGGCAGAAGTATTATCAGCTAAATGTACTCAGGTATCAAAAGTAAAAGTACTCTTTTATATAAGAGTTGTATTATTATACAATATTATAATATCTTGTTTTCATCATGAGAAAATACATGAGTTTTTTAAATGTTGGATTTGGTCAATATGGAGCACATTTTGGAAAGTGCTGAGTCAATTTGTAAAAAATATATATCATATAAACACATGAATTTGTATAAAAAGCAACTACTTTTGTCAAATAAATGAAGTGCATTAAAAGCCTCTGAAATGTATTGTACAGTGAAAAGTAGATTTTCTCCAGTACATTTTTGAGGTACTTTGTAATTCTACCCCACTACATTTCTTTAATACCTTTAATTCATATGCAGATTTGTATTAATGATGTGGAAGTAAAAGTACCCGAATTATACTTAAGTAGGCTACATTACTTGAGTAAATGTACTAAGTTACTTTCACCATTGTTAACTATGCAACTTTCCTTTTTAGAGGATGGGCTTCCACAAGTATACACATTTAAATATAGTGAAATACTCACCACAGAAAGCTAGTGTTGCATGGAGGAAGGCAGTTGAAGTTAGACTAGAAAATGCAGAAGAAGCTGAATATTGTAACAGTGAATGGCGACTGCTTTTAGCTACAAACTGCTGAACTTAGCGGAGAAATGTAGAAAAGTGAAATCATTTGAATGAAAATGTTAAATGTTATGGCACCTTGGACATTATACAAGAAGAACATCCTTTTTTTTTTTGAAAGACAAACCTTTATTAATATCCAAACAGTTAATTTGATCACACATCCCATCAGTAAAGTCTGTTCAATGATTTCATGATCAGTTTCACTTCATCCACACAATCTGAATCTCAGCTATTTCAAACAGAATCAGAAATGATTTACTTATGATTATTATCATGATAATTAATGTTCTATAAAACATCAGAGTGCCCACTTTCTATTTGGATAACAAACAACAACAACAACAACCAACAACAATGAGTCTGCAAAACAATAACTGTAATATTATACAATGTATTTCCCAAACAAAGACTCTAAGCTATTGACAGGAGAATAATAAATGATTGACTTATTGATTATGATCATGACAGTAAGTAATATCATTTTAAATAAACATGTAATGATGAAATAAGTGTTATAACCATCTGGGGAACTCATTTGTTCATTAATTTGGGCAACAATAATATATAATCTGTCAAAATAATACATGTGATTATAAATGTCTCTATTGTTGAGAAAGTGGCCAGAATAAAATATCTACAATGAAAGAAGCTCTGGTGCTTTCTCTCTGAAGACTCAAGCTTCAAGAGAAACAACAACATAAATATATCAATATTCAACACATATTTAGAGCAAAGTTCACATTTCCATGCAGAGAAATATGAGTAGAGGTCAACAGAAACCCTCCTGAACAGTGACAGCCTCCATGGCTAAACAGACACAGGAAGGAGCGCCGCCTAAAGAAACTCCAACATCTACAGAACAACTCATGAGAAGATGTTAAAGCACATCCCATAATGTTTGATTGACAGCTGATCTCTGTGCAGTGAAGACATGAACAATCAGCTCTCAGCAACAATGATGGACACAATGAGTTTAAGAAGTAGAAGAGTTCCTCAAATGACTTCAGGCTATTTCAGTTTACAAAACTCAGCTGTGGTTCCATAACAAAGCCAAACTCCAGCATGTAGCGGCTGAGTGAATGTGGTCTGGACTCTGTGGAGGAGAGTCATGGTTTCAGAGATGATGCTGTAGAAGGACAGAATACCTGCTCTGTGATCCAGGTACACTCCTACTCTGGAGGACTGAGGACCTGAGACGGATGTTGATTCTGTTGTGACGAAATAAATAACTGTGTTGGAAACACTCTAAGGACCAAGATTTGTCATTGAGTCCAAATCCACATTTACCCCCACCCCTGCTCTGCTGATATTCTTGTCTGCGACTGCTACATAAATGCTCCCCCTCTCCACTCCACCTCCCAGTAACAACGTCCAGTCAGACTCTCTGTACTCAGGACCTGACGCCAACAGTGAATCTGTCTGGGTGATTAGAATAAGACTGTTGTTGTTCCTGTATGTTGCTTTTCTGCCCCCTCAGATATAACAGCTGTGTGTGTGCTGTGTTTGGATCCAGTGTGATCTCCTGTGAATATTTAAGAACCCAGCTCTGGTGTGGGCTCTGCTGCTGGCAGTAAAACTTCCACTTCAGGCGGTGAGACGTTTGTCCATTCCTCTCTCAGGACGTCCTGTAGTTTGTCTCTGACTGCTGACAGGGCCGCCGTCACGTCCTCAAAGTAGCTCAGAGGACGGATGTTGATGCTGGAGGAGTGTGTAGCTTCACTGAGGGCTGACAGTGAGGGGTAGCTGTGCAGAAACTGGTTGTGATCCTCTGTGTGAGACAGCAGCTTCAGCTCAGCGTCTCTCTCTCTCTTCAGCTCAGAGATCTCCTGCTCCAGCTTCTCCTGGAGCTCTCTGACTCGACTCACTTCTCTCTTCTGCTGGGATCTGACCTGCTGCTTCACGTCAGAGCTTCTTTTCTCCATGAGACGGATCAGCTCAGTGAACATCTTCTCACTGTCCTCCACTGCTTATCAGCAGAGCCATTGACGGCCTCCACCTCCTGCTGAAGCAGCTTCACCTCCTTCTCTCCGTCCTGGATTCTCTGCTGGATGTTTTGTCGACTCCCCTCCAGCTCTCTCTGCCTCTCAGTCCTCTCTGCTGCAGCTGACACCGTGTCGTGGCCTTTGTGTTCGTCCACAGAGCAGAGATAACAGACACTGCTGATCAGTGCGGCAGAAACATCTTCATCACCTCGTCGTGACGAGAGCAGATGTTCTCCTGGAGCTTCTTGGAGGGCTCCACCAGCTTGTGTTTCTTTAATGGAGCTACCTCATATGAGGCTGGAGGTGTTGTCACAATAAGAGGCCCACACACGAGGCAGGACTTACAGGCTCTCAGTTTCCTCCCAGTGCAGAGCATCACAGGCCACATCTTCAGCTCCAGCATAGCAGAGATCAGCAGGAGCAGCTTGAGTCCAGTCTTCTTCAGCTCCTCCACTAAAGCTGCTAACATGGTGTTCTTCGCAGGACAGGCCTCGGGTGTGAAGCTCTGCCTGCACTGAGTGGCAGCTGTGGATCTTCTTCTCATCCTCTCCGTCCCAGAAGCCTTCAATACACTTCATACAGTAGCTATGTCCACAGGAAGTCGTCACCGGATCCTTTAGTAGATCCAGACAGATCGAACAAGAGAAGGTTTCCCGGTCCAGCTGAACTCCTTTCTGCGCCATTTCTCCTCTCAGTGGCAGCGAGTGTCTGAGTTTCACTTCCTGAGAACTGAAACTATGTGAGCTGTGATCTGAACAACATGTGTGTGTGCAGTGAATGTGGCCTATCAGCTCTTGTATTTTACCCACATGTTGGTTTACACCCATCCTCTTCAGTGTGGATTCTAAAGGGGAGGAACCAGGAAATACAGAGTGGAGCTGGCTGTGTCTGAGAGCAGGAAGAAGAGGGAGGGCTTATCAAACTCTGACTCATTCCAGGAGGAGGAGCAGCGCTGACACTCTGAACTGTTTCCTCATTTACAAACGGAGCCTCGCTTTCAACCTGCTCTACATTTGAAGAGAGCTTTTAGTTGTAAAATAAGTGGGTACACTTACAAATTCTGCAGGGGATCAAATACTTATTTCCTCTACTGTAATGTTATTGCCTCAATGTCCTGAAATAGCTGAAATAAGTTAATAGTTGAATATTTTTGTGCAGCTGAAAGTAGGCTGAAGGAGTTATCAGATGTTCTTTTGAAGGGGTGTGTGGCTTTGGAGAGTGTGAGGTGAAGAAACACTAAATGAGATATCTGACATCAATAAATGGGAGGCTCACCCATAAAAACAATGGTTAGGGAGGCAAAGGCCTTTGGTGTGTGTGTGTGTGTGTGTGTGTGTGTGTGTGTGTGTGTGTGTGTGTGTGGTGTGTGTCAGATGAATACAATTTAGAATAAAAATAAATCTATATATTGAATGGGAAGTCAGATATGAGATATATAGTGTAATTGATCAAATATGAAGGTCAAGGTGTTACTGAGACTTTTGACCTACTGTCTTACACTGTAGTCACAATTGTAATTTTGTATGTCAATTATAAAAACTAAAACATATCTATAAACTTCTGCTTCCTAAATCAATCGTGAAAGTAGAAGTTGTAAAGGTTTGACCTATATTGTATGTTGTGTCTTGTCCCTTATGGTTTATTTTTTAATTGTGAGCTATAAAGGATAAATACAGGAGCAGCATGCAGATATTTGAACACGCATGATCATCAGACAAGTCACCTTCTTGATCCTCACACTGAATACATAGAGCTTATGTAACGCAGATGTAAATGTTTGCATCAGTAAAACAACACATATCTCCTTTGGAAATATCTCTTATCAGAGGTCTTTATTCCAGTTTGGTAAAGCCAACAGTTACTCTCCAAAGTTACATTCAAACAATCTTTCATTTACCTGAACCTCAGGTAAACCTCCACGTCCCCAGTTCAGACCTTTATTCCTCTGTTGGTCTCACAACGATCACAACAATAGTGATTTCTCCCTCTTATCATATTCTTTAACATTCCAAGCATACATATTTATATTCACTATTTGTACAATATATTGTCATCGAGTCCATTCATCCGTCCACCCCCCCCCTCGTCCACATGCACACACACAAACACTGTACAGATGTATCAATGGAATCATGGTTCAAAGACGGTCGGGCCTTAACATTTAATATCCACGAGTCAAGGAAAGACACAGCTGAGTACCATTTGTTTGTTTTTCAAGTTCTGGCTGCTGCAAGGTGATTTGTTCATAAAGCCAAATGGAGAAGGCGGCGTGCTATATGACAGAGTGAAAGCCTCTCATGTGTTCAGAGGACCCTGGTCCAGTGTTTCAGGAATACAGGAAGAAGAACAAAAGAGAGAGATGGAAAGAGCGTTTAAAGGAATGACAATTATTCACCATGTTATCTTGAATTCTTCATTAAGAGCTTACTATTTAAAGCACTTCCACATGACTGGTCTCACGGAGGGTCAAATAATGCTCAAATGTGAAACTTTGATGTCTTTTATAATGTAAGGTTTTATAAAAAATTGAATTACTAGCATGTGACGGGATAATTGAGCTTTACTGCACAAATGTGAGAGCTTTTAAATAAAGGGTTTAAAATACGTCCCAATTTACGTCAATTCATCAAACAGTTTTTTGAATTCTTCTTACCGTAGAGGGATACAAGAAAAAACGACATCATCTTCAAAAACCTAAGAAAACACGAGTCGAGTAATTTGATATACAAGTGGTCATTTTGATGGTGAAGCATTCCTGCTCAATAAAAGGAAAGACAAAGGGAGACCTGAACGGAAAGGGCAGTAAATGTTCATATCATTCCTAAATAAAAGCGTTCCATCCCTTCTTCTCCACGTTGCTTCTCTTAGTGTCTAACCGTCTAAAGCCAAGCACAGCAGTTCCTTCTCTTGGTTCCCAGTGTGGTTCTTACAGGAGTGGTGACAGGTATACAATACAGTCCGGTCTTCCAACCTCCAATACTGACGCCTCCTTACTTCCAGCCAACTGATGCTTTGGTCTCTGTGCAGTAGACGAGGCGTTTATGGCCCTGTATTAGGAATCCAGTGTCGGACATTTGGACGCCAACTATTGCAGTAAAGTGGCACAAACGCAGCTGCAGGAGAACATGAGATACTGAAAAGTGCAAACCTGTTTCTTGGTCGCTAGTCGATACATCTATGGTTTGGTTTATGACACATTTGCGTAGCTTTGGTCCGGAGGTTGTACGAGAGGAGAAAGCCAGTGACTACAATTTGAGAGGAAGAGAAGCTGAGCCGAGCCGAGCCCGAGCCAGGCTGTGTTCGGCAGGGCCACGCTGGGTTAGGAAGAGCTCTGCGTTGGGGAGAGTGAGAGAGAAAAACAAGAGGCTCGTCCTCCAGTGTCTCTCTCTACCTGCCGAAAATGTTCTCGTACTCCAGCAGTATGAGCTCCACGATCTGGTTCTGGTACACCATGTGGACCGCGATGTTCCACGTCTCCTGTTCGGGGCGCAGTACACGATGGCCACGCTCTGAGTGGTCATACGGTTCTCCTCGCCGTGCTCGATCACCCTGGAGAGGACACATCATTTGGAATTGATAATAAATCCTGACATAAGATAAGACTTTATTTATCCCGAAGGAAATTGTTGTACCAGAGTTACAAAAATACAATAAACACAGCAGCACAATAACAAAACTGTAAACTAACAGTACAGTAAAACTGCAATTAAATATCTACAGGAAACATAGACGGTCACATAATGAAGTAAATATTCACAGTATTCGTGGTTGCAGATACGTAATAAACACAGAATTCTCTCAGAAATACTCTACTGTTTACAATCTGCTCCGTAATGCTGTCGTATTTTTCATAATCAGATATGTATGATGGTTTATTTAGGCCGTTGTAGGTGAAATATACAAACCTGGGCAGGGGAGTAAAGAGTAAACAACTCAGAATTTCTTAGACGTATTTATACATTCATTCGTGATTTATTTTGTCATTTTCTGAAAATATAGGTGTACATTTATAGAATGAGAAAAAGCCTACAAATATGGAGGAAAAACTCAACATTCTTTAATTATTATCAACTCATAAATCCGCTATACTAGTATTACAGAGTGACGATCGTATGCCTCAACCAAATTCTTCCAAATTGTCATCAGCCTATTTTTATCCTATTTTTGAAATTGTCCTAATTAGTAGTTAGAGTTCATCCAGGGGCGGACTGGCCATCTGTAGAATCTGGAGAACCACAGAACGGCCGGTCGTCAAGGGCTGTGGACGGCAGGCACTTTAAAAAGAAAAGGTTTAACGTCATCATTTAAATTGCGATGACGGCCGACAGCGGCCGCTAATGCAGTTGTGTGGTTCTTATGTCAAATAATCACACACACGAAGAAGAGAAAAGACCGGCCACACGAAGGCCCATTCCCAAACCGCCCCCTACACGAGAAGGGTCTAGCTGCGGCCGCGGACAGTACACGATGGTACACGATGGTACACGACACGCCCACCTGACACGACACTACGGTGGCTGAGAAGGGTCTAGCTGCGGCCGCGAAAGTTGTACTACCAAATATGGTCAGAAGAGAGCACGCCCCACACGTGAGACGCTGACGCAAAGATATTTAAGGAGACATGGAGGTTTACAGACAACAGACAACAAACAATATGGCGCACCGAGTACAGGTAATTATTAAACGTATTGTGGTTTTAGATATAATTACATACTATTTAGGTTCTCGTTTGTTTGTCGATGTGGCAGTTTAGCGCAGTGTAATTGTGTTTATTTTGCTATTATATATATATACTGTATATATATATATATATATATATATATAGGCGCTATATATATCTTATTATTAATACATCATTGGAACGGTACCTCCAGTATGCCTACATGACAAGCATTTTTATAATATACAGTAAACATATCTTTGACTTATTGCAAAATTATAAAATGAAATTCACCCCTGCTGTCATTCTGGCTTTCACTGTTCAAATGAGATGTCAACCATCAAAATGGGATAAGGGGTTCCAAGGGGTTCTCAAACGGATAGGTTATTAATTTATTTGCCTAATAGTTGCTTAAAATGCTACAATAACATGCCATGTACGGTCTCTCTCAGCCACCGTGGGTGGCGTAGTAGGGGGCGTGTCGTGTAGTGTCGTCAATTCGCTTTTCATCTGCCATGCCTCTCAGCCACCGTAGTGTCGTGTCAGGTGGGCGTGTCGTGTACCGTCGTGTACCGTCGTTTACTGTCCGCGGCCGCAGCTAGACCATATTGCCCTACACCCTGTCACTACCCGATCTGCAGCTCTGCCCGATCTGCAGTGCGCATGTACGAGATGGTCCGCCATATTGGACATCTCCAGACGGCAAACCCAAGTAGGACAACATTGACACAGTGGCTTTTGGCAAAGCTCAAAAATAAAACGAGAGAGAGATGAGTTATTGTTATTACAACGTGACTTCACTATTATTTAACAACTATTTTTATTGGGTTGTTTTATTTGGGGTTAAGTACATTATCAGAATAAGTGAGAAATGGATTTAACTTCTGTTAGACAGCTATCATACTGAATACATATTTACTGTGAATGTATGCAAACATGTATGGCATATGGCTGTCTAACAGAAGTTAAATTCATGTCTCACTTATTCTGATAATGAACTTAACCCCAAATAAAAGAACCCCATACAAAGAGTTGTTAAATAATAGTGAAGTCACGTTGTAATAACAATAACTCATCTCTCTCTCTCGTTTTCTTTTTGAGCTTTGCCAAAAGCCACTGTGTCAATGTTGTCCTACTTGGGTTGCCGTCCGGAGATGTCCAATATGGCGGACCATCTCGCACATGCGCACTGCAGATCGGGCAGAGCTGCAGATCGGGTTGTGACACACCCTACCCCTCCGTTTGCGCGTTCACGCGGAGGGTCCGCCATATTGAGGGCTGTTCCAAAGCAACGAGTGTGGAGGGGGAGTGGGCTATCAAGCCCTCAAACAGCGAGTCTGCAGCGGTGCTGACTTGAGACCGGTCTCTACCTGACCGGAGTCACGCTGTGTGTGTCCGTCAGGAAACACGCTGTTTACAAGTAATTCCAGCAAACATCCACTGATAAATTGCGATGTTAACAACCTCATGATAACCTCATATGTTTTTAACTTAGGATCATACCTGTGTTTAGTCTAGAAAAAGGTAAATGTGTGCATTTTATTATAAAGTTGTGTATATTTACAGACCGTTGCAAAAACTAAGAAGCTTATAAACATCAGGTTTAAAACTAAAAGAGCTTTGAAACACAATGAAAGAGTTTTGGAGTTTTATTTGAGTTATTCATTTAAACTTTTTGTCTAAGAGATGCTGATTTGAAACCGTTGTTACATACAATTACGGCATTTCCTGTTTCTGCCGGAGAGAGGGAGGCCGTCCCAAAGCTTGCTGCTGTATTTACTCCCTCCATCTGACAGGAGGGAGCCTCGTTGAGCTGCGAGTGTGTGCTACAGACGGAGTTCACTCCATCACGGAGGGGTAGGGTCGAGGGAGTGGTTTGGGATTGGGCCGAAGAGAAGGGATTAGACGCCGCGGCAGACAGGGAGAATGAAAAAACATGGATACAAATCAAAGAAAACGAAAAGAAAAAGGTGGGGCCGAGAAGGCAAGAGAAATAAAGGTGAAGTCACTCGCAGGTGAAGCATATACATGTCGCAAATCGACAGACCTTCTTGGCAGCAGCGCTACAAGCACTATCAACAGCAGCTTAGAACAAGTGCAAGATGATGAAGAGAATGATGAGGGCCCGAGTTTAGATATACAGCCAGCCTCCTGCGTTCATGATGAGGGACAGAGTTGAGCTGCTGGAAGAACCAGCTCAACTGGCACATACAAGTGCAGGGCAAGAGCAAGAGGTGGGTGAGAATTATCCCTTGAACTCAGTGACGTTTTCTCCTGGAGGCCAAGGGAAGCCAGGCTTCCCCTGTTTTTTTGCATTGTAGTTATAATATTAATAAATAAATAAAAACACTTCGTTTAGTTTCGGTAATTATTCTGCCGGCCCGTCTCTCCCCCATTCTCATTGAGTATTTACAAAGAGTGAAACAGCGCCCCTCTAGATGTTATGGTGAAATAGTAGATTGCACTCTGTTGCGAGACGAGGCCAGCCACAATTGGCTTCCCTTGGTGAAAAAAAAATTGAGGGATTGACCAATCAGATGAGGCGCACGTCATGCCTCACAATCCAATCAAATCACATCAACTTCAGTTCGTACTGTAACTGTCATCACTGCCCTTAAAAAGTAGCAAGCAACTGAAGCAAGTGCAATTATGGAGGGTGGAGATTTGGAGTATTTCATCAAAAATAATTGTACTAAACTTCCGCTACAGCAGCAACTAAAAATGAAATCTGATGACAGGCCAATGATCAAACTGGAGCTGTGTACAGAGAGGGAAAAAGGAGTGAATCGGACGTAAAACTTTAAATAATAAACAGCGGATTTCTAACATTTGACATTTCATGTGGCCGGACTGGGTCAGTTTCCAGCGCTGCATTTTAGTCCCAGTCCGCCCCTGCTTTCATCGCACATTTCTGATCAGTTCATCTTTAAGTCACAGTCCACATGTGTGCCAGATCTGAAAAGGTTCCCTCTATGCATTCCTGGGAGAACGAGGCGTACGGACACACATATGTTTGAAAGTTATTTCTGACGGACAACTCAAACATATTATGCCTCAGGCCGCAGATGTCGCCAGAGAAAGGCATACAAAGTGTGATTTGATTTGTAGGCATTATACACAGCAAGCTGAAGAAAAGGAAAAACAAATGATAGAGCAGTAAGAGAGTGTTTTTCTCACTTCCTGAGGTGCTTGAAGAGAGTCTGCATGGTGTCGTGGTTGCAGACGGGAAGCTGTCGGACCAGATCTTTAATGGACTGAACCCGCTGCTTGTAGTCTGGACTCTCTGCACAACAGAAAACACACATTTATCAAAGTGAATCATCTGGATTCATCAAAGAGTCTCATGCCTCCTTCTGTTGTTTCACTGACTACTTCCACATCATATGCACATTGTTTTACTTATTCCCAATAAAAGACAATATGAATACTACGCTGTTTACAAAGAGGCTAACGGGTACGGTTTCACAGTTTTCTGGCTCTCCAAAACCCAGGTTCTTTCCGGGCCAACAACCGGGCTGAGTAGTATGCTAAACTAGAGAGAGAATCGTTGGCAAGGGGGCTACAACTACAACAAAATGAACATATTTGACCGTGATTTAATTGTAATACACGTTTCAAAATGATGCCGAAGTAACAACATACTGATACCGGTTAGTAAAAACCATGAATTAATGTTTTGATTAGTCTGCAGACAGACGGCAGGCTAAAAACCTTTTTAAAATCCTTTTTTTCTGAATGGAGTTTGGCTACGCTAACGTTGTATATGCTCCGACCGTCCACACTCACAGCAACGGCCTATACAGACATAAATAAACCAGCGACTGTATTCGCCATGACACAGACAGTCTGTGGTTTGTACTTATTTAACTTTTGTCTAGTTTCTGAACAGATATGAGGAGCTGTGAGCTGTGAGTGCTAACAGCTAAAGGCTGATGTTGGTTTTGTGGTTGTGGTGCAGCTGTGTGTTTCACGTACTGATTGCGCTGATGAAGTCGTGGAAGAGAGCGCAGCTCTCTGAAGTACATCTGTAACGCTCCAGTGATCACATGGAAGTCCTCCCACTTGGAGTCTGACAGGTTCACCTTTGATATATATTTATTTTAGTGCCATGCAGGTTGAAACTGTCACGGAAGAAAATTGTTGAACTTTCCAAAGAAGTTCTATTTATTGTCTATTTGGCAGAAGTATTATCAGCTAAATGTACTCAGGTATCAAAAGTAAAAGTACTCTTTTATATAAGAGTTGTATTATTATACAATATTATAATATCTTGTTTTCATCATGAGAAAATACATGAGTTTTTTAAATGTTGGATTTGGTCAATATGGAGCACATTTTGGAAAGTGCTGAGTCAATTTGTAAAAAATATATATCATATAAACACATGAATTTGTATAAAAAGCAACTACTTTTGTCAAATAAATGAAGTGCATTAAAAGCCTCTGAAATGTATTGTACAGTGAAAAGTAGATTTTCTCCAGTACATTTTTGAGGTACTTTGTAATTCTACCCCACTACATTTCTTTAATACCTTTAGTTCATATGCAGATTTGTATTAATGATGTGGAAGTAAAAGTACCCGAATTATACTTAAGTAGGCTACATTACTTGAGTAAATGTACTAAGTTACTTTCACCATTGTTAACTATGCAACTTTCCTTTTTAGAGGATGGGCTTCCACAAGTATACACATTTAAATATAGTGAAATACTCACCACAGAAAGCTAGTCGTTGCATGGAGGAAGGCAGTTGAAGTTAGACTAGAAAATGCAGAAGAAGCTGAATATTGTAACAGCTGAATGGCGACTGCTTTTAGCTACAAACTGCTGAACTTAGCGGAGAAATGTAGAAAAGTGAAATCATTTGAATGAAAATGGTTAAATGTTATGGCACCTTGGACATTATACAAGAAGAACATCCTTTTTTATTTTTGAAAGACAAACCTTTATTAATATCCAAACAGTTAATTTGATCACACATCCCATCAGTAAAGTCTGTTCAATGATTTCATGATCAGTTTCACTTCATCCACACAATCTGAATCTCAGCTATTTCAAACAGAATCAGAAATGATTTACTTGCTGATTATTATCATGATAATTAATGTTCTATAAAACATCAGAGTGCCCACTTTCTATTTGGACAACAACAACAACAACAACAACCACAACAACAATGAGTCTGCAAAACAATAACTGTAATATTATACAATGTATTTCCCAAACAAAGACTCTAAGCTATTGACAGGAGAATAATAAATGATTGACTTATTGATTATGATCATGACAGTAAGTAATATCATTTTAAATAAACATGTAATGATGAAATAAGTGTTATAACCATCTGGGGAACTCATTTGTTCATTAATTTGGGCAACAATAATATATAATCTGTCAAAATAATACATGTGATTATAAATGTCTCTATTGTTGAGAAAGTGGCCAGAATAAAATATCTAACATGAAAGAAGCTCTGGTGCTTTCTCTCTGAAGACTCAAGCTTCAAGAGAAACAACAATATACAAATATATCAATATTCAACACATATTTAGAGCAAAGTTCACATTTCCATGCAGAGAAATATGAGTAGAGGTTAACAGAAACCCTCCTGAGCAGTGACAGCCTCCATGGCTAAACAGACACAGGAAGGAGCGCCGCCTAAAGAAACTCCAACATCTACAGAACAACTCATGAGAAGATGTTAAAGCACATCCCATAATGTTTGATTGACAGCTGATCTCTGTGCAGTGATGAACAATCAGCTCTCAGCAACAATGATGGACACAATGAGTTTAAGAAGTAGAAGAGTTCCTCAAATGACTTCAGGCTATTTCAGTTTACAAAACTCAGCTGTGTCTCCATAACCATAACCAAGCCCAACTCCAGCATGTAGCGGCTGAGTGAATGTGGTCTGGACTCTGTGGAGGAGAGTCATGGTTTCAGAGATGATGCTGTAGAAGGACAGAATACCTGCTCTGTGATCCAGGTACACTCCTACTCTGGAGGACTGAGGACCTGAGACGGGAGTGTTGATATTGTTGTAAAAAAATGAATAACTGTGTTGGAAACACACTAAGGACCAAGATTTGTCATTGAGTCCAAATCCACATTTACCCCCACCCCCTCTTCTGCTGATATTCTTGTATGTGACTGCTGCATGAACTGTTCCCCCTCTCCACTCCACCTCCCAGTAACAACGTCCAGTCAGACTCTCTCTACTCAGGACCTGACGCCAATTTGTGAATCTGTCTGGATGACTAGAATAAGGCTGTAGTTGTTCCATGACTGTTGCTTTTCTGCCCCCCTCAGATATTATCAGCTGTGTGTTTGCTGTGTTTGGATCCAGTGTGATTTCCTGTGAATATGTTAAGAACCCAGCTCTGGTGGTGGGCTCTGCTGCTGGCAGTAAAACATCCACTTCAGGCGGTGAGACGTTTGTCCATTCCTCTCTCAGGACGTCCTGTAGTTTGTCTCTAACTGCTGACAGGGCCGCCGTCACGTCCTCAAAGTAGCTCAGAGGACGGATGTTGATGCTGGAGGAGTGTGTAGCTTCACTGAGGGCTGACAGTGAGGGGTAGCTGTGCAGAAACTGGTTGTGATCCTCTGTGTGAGACAGCAGCTTCAGCTCAGCATCTCTCCTCTTCAGCTCAGAGATCTCCTGCTCCAGCTTCTCCTGGAGCTCTTTGACTCGACTCACTTCTCTCTTCTGCTGGGATCTGACCTGCTGCTTCACATCAGAGCTTCTTTTCTCCATGAGACGGATCAGCTCAGTGAACGTCTTCTCACTGTCCTCCACTGCTTTATCAGCAGAGCCATTGACGGCCTCCACCTCCTGCTGAAGCAGCTTCACCTCCTTCTCTCCGTCCTGGATTCTCTGCTGGATGTTTAGTCGACTCCCCTCCAGCTCTCTCTGCCTCTCAGTCCTCTCTGCTGCAGCTGACACCGTGTCGTGGCCTTTGTGTTCGTCCACAGAGCAGAGATAACAGATACACTGCTGATCAGTGCGGCAGAACATCTTCATCACCTCGTCGTGACGAGAGCAGATGTTCTCCTGGAGCTTCTTGGAGGGCTCCACCAGCTTGTGTTTCTTTAATGGAGCTACGTCATAATGAGGCTGGAGGTGTTTCTCACAATAAGAGGCCAGACACATGAGGCAGGACTTACAGGCTCTCAGTTTTCTCCCAGTGCAGACATCACAGGCCACATCTTCAGCTCCAGCATAGCAGAGATCAGCAGGAGCAGCTTGGAGTCCAGTCTTCTTCAGCTCCTCCACTAAAGCTGCTAACATGGTGTTTTTCAGCAGGACAGGCCTCGGTGTGAAGCTCTGCCTGCACTGAGGGCAGCTGTGGGTCTTCTTCTCATCCTCTCCATCCCAGAAGCCTTTAATACACTTCATGCAGTAGCTGTGTCCACAGGGAATAGCCACCGGATCCTTTAGTAGATCCAGACAGATCGAACAAGAGAAGGTTTCCCGGTCCAGCTGAACTCCTTTCTGCGCCATTTCTCCTCTCAGTGGCAGCGAGTGTCTGAGTTTCACTTCCTGAGAACTGAAACTATGTGAGCTGTGATCTGAACAACATGTGTGTGTGCAGTGAATGTGGCCTATCAGCTCTTGTATTTTACCCACGTGTTGGTTACACCCATCCTCTTCAGTGTGGATCTAAAGGGGAGGAGCCAGGAAATACAGAGTGGAGCTGGCTGTGTCTGAGAGCAGGAAGAAGAGGGAGGGCTCATCAAACTCTGACTCATTCCAGGAGGAGGAGCAGCGCTGACACTCTGAACTGTTTCCTCATTTACAAACGGAGCCTCGCTTTCAACCTGCTCTACATTTGAAGAGAGCTTTTAGTTGTTAAATAAGTGGGTAAACTTACAAATTCTGCAGGGGATCAAATACTTATTTCCTCTACTGTAAATGTATTGCCTCAATGTCCTGACATAGCTGAATAAGTTAATAGTTGAATATTTTGTGCAGCTGAAAGTAGGCTGAAGGAGTTATCAGATGTTCTTTTGAAGGGGTGTGTGGCTTTGGAGAGTGTGAGGTGGAGAAACACTAAATGAGATATCTGACATCAATAAATGGGAGGCTCACCCATAAAAACAATGGTTAGGGAGGCAAAGGCCTTTGGTGTGTGTGTGTGTGTGTGTGTGTGTGTGTGTGTGTGTGTGTGTGTGTGTGTGTGTGTGTGTGTGTGTGTGTGTGTGTGTGTGTGTGTGTGTGTGACAGATGAATACAATTTAGAATAAAATAAATCTAATATATTGAATGGGAAGTCAGATATGAGAGATATAGTGTAATTGATCAAATATGAAGTCAAGGTGTTACTGAGACTTTTGACCTACTGTCTTACACTGTAGTCACATTGTAATTGTGTATGTCAATTATAAAAACTAAAACATATCTATAAACTTCTGCTTCCTAAATCAATCGTGAAAGGAGAAGTTGTAAAGGTTTGACCTATATTGTATGTTGTGTCTTGTCCCTTATGGTTTATTTTTTTAATTGTGAGCTAAAGGATTAAATACAGGAGCAGCATGCAGATATTTGAACACGCATGATCATCAGACAAGTCACCTTCTTGATCCTCACACTGAAATACATAGAGCTTATGTAACGCAGATGTAAATGTTTGCATAAGTAAAACAACACATATCTCCTTTGGAAATATCTCTTATCAGAGGTCTTTATTCCAGTTTGGTAAAGCCAACAGTTACTCTCCAAAGTTACATTCAAACAATCTTTCATTTACCTGAACCTCAGGTAAACCTCCACGTCCCCAGTTCAGACCTTTATTCCTCTGTTGGTCTCACAACGATCACAACAAGAGTGATTTCTCCCTCTTATCATATTCTTTAACATTCCAAGCATACATATTTATATTCACTATTTGTACAATATATTGTCATCGAGTCCATTCATCCGTCCACCCCCCCCTCGTCCACATGCACACACACAAACACTGTACAGATGTATCAATGGAATCATGGTTCAAAGACGGTCGGCCTTAACATTTAATATCCACGAGTCAAGGAAAGACACAGCTGAGTACCATTTGTTTGTTTTTCAAGTTCTGGCTGCTGCAAGGTGATTTGTTCATAAAGCCAAATGGAGAAGGCGGCGTGCAGATATATGACAGAGTGAAAGCCTCTCATGTGTTCAGAGGACCCTGGTCCAGTGTTTCAGGAATACAGGAAGAAGAACAAAGAGAGAGATGGAAAGAGCGTTTAAAGGAATGACAATTATTCACCATGTTATCTTGAATTCTTCATTAAGAGCTTACTATTTAAAGCACTTCCACATGACTGGTCTCACGGAGGGTCAAATAATGCTCAAATGTGAAACTTTGATGTCTTTTATAATGTAAGGTTTTATAAAAAAATTGGAATTACTAGCATGTGACGGGATATTTGAGCTTTACTGCACAAAATGTGAGAGCTTTTAAATAAAGGGTTTAAAATACGTCCCAATTTACGTCAATTCATCAAACAGTTTTTTGAATTCTTCTTACCGTAGAGGGATACAAGAAAAACGACATCATCTTCAAAAACTTAAGAAAACACGAGTCGAGTAATTTGATATACAAGTGGTCATTTTGATGGTGAAGCATTCCTGCTCAAATAAAAGGAAAGACAAAGGGAGACCTGAACGGAAAGGGCAGTAAATGTTCATATCATTCCTAAATAAAAGCGTTCCATCCCTTCTTCTCCACGTTGCTTCTCTTAGTGTCTAAACGTCTAAAGCCAAGCACAGCAGTTCCTTCTCTTGGTTCCCCAGTGTGGTTCTTACAGGAGTGGTGACAGGTTATACAATACAGTCCGGTCTCCAACCTCCAATACTGACGCCTCCTTACTTCCAGCCAACTGATGCTTTGGTCTCTGTGCAGTAGACGAGGCGTTTATGGCCCTGTATTAGGAATCCAGTGTCGGACATTTGGACGCCAACTATTGCAGTAAAGTGGCACAAACGCAGCTGCAGGAGAACATGAGATACTGAAAAGTGCAAACCTGTTTCTTGGTCGCTAGTTCGATACATCTATGGTTTGGTTTATGACACATTTGCGTAGCTTTGGTCCGGAGGTTGTACGAGAGGAGAAAGCCAGTGACTACAATTTGAGAGGAAGAGAAGCTGAGCCGAGCCGAGCCGAGCCAGGCTGTGTTCGGCAAGGCCACGCTGGGTTAGGAAGAGCTCTGCGTTGGGAGAGTGAGAGAGAAAAACAAGAGGCTCGTCCTCCAGCGTCTCTCTCTACCTGCCGAAAATGTTCTCGTACTCCAGCAGTATGAGCTCCACGATCTGGTTCTGGTACACCATGTGGACCGCGATGTTCCACGTCTCCTGTTCGGGGCGCAACAGCGTGGGGCCGTACACGATGGCCACGCTCTGAGTGGTCATACGGTTCTCCTCGCCGTGCTCGATCACCCTGGAGAGGACACATCATTTGGAATTGATAATAAATCCTGACATAAGATAAGACTTTATTTATCCCGAAGGAAATTGTTGTGCCAGAGTTACAAAAATACAATAAACACAGCAGCACAATAACAAAACTGTAAACTAACAGTGCAGTAAAACTGCAATTAAATATCTACAGGAAACATAGACGGTCACATAATGAAGTAAATATTCACAGTATTTAGTAGTGCAAAAAACGTGGTTGCAGATACGTAATAAACACAGAATTCTCTCAGAAATACTCTACTGTTTACAATCTGCTCCGTAATGCTGTCGTATTTTTCATAATCAGATATGTATGATGGTTTATTTAGGCCGTTGTAGGTGAAATATACAAACCTGGGCAGGGGAGTAAAGAGTAAACAACTCAGAATTTCTTAGACGTATTTATACATTCATTCGTGATTTATTTTGTCATTTTCTGAAAATATAGGTGTACATTTATAGAATGAGAAAAAGCCTACAAATATGGAGGAAAAACTCAATATTCTTTAATTATTATCAACTCATAAATCCGCTATACTAGTATTACAGAGTGACGATCGTATGCCTCAACCAAATTCTTCCAAATTGTCATCAGCCTATTTTTATCCTATTTTTGAAATTGTCCTAATTAGTAGTTAGCTTTCATCCAGGGGCGGACTGGCCATCTGTAGAATCTGGAGAACCACAGAACGGCCGGTCGTCAAGGGCTGTGGACGGCAGGCACTTTAAAAAGAAAAGGTTTAACGTCATCATTTAAATTGCGCTGACGGCCGACAGCGGCCGCTAATGCAGTTGTGTGGTTCTTATGTCAAATAATCACACACAAAGAAGAGAAAAGACCGGCCACACGAAGGCCCATTCCCAAACCGCCCCCTACACGAGAAGGGTCTAGCTGCGGCCGCGGACAGTACACGATGGTACACGATGGTACACGATGGTACACGATGGTACACGACACGCCCACCTGACACGACACTACGGTGGCTGAGAAGGGTCTAGCTGCGGCCGCGAAAGTTGTACTTCCAAATATGGTCAGAAGAGAGCACGCCCAACACGTGAGACGCTGACGCAAGGATATTTAAGGAGACATGGAGGTTTACAGACAACAGACAACAAACAATATGGCGCACCGAGTACAGGCAATTATTAAACGTATTGTGGTTTTAGATATAATTACATACTATTTAGGTTCTTGTTTGTTTGTCGATGTGGCAGTTTAGCGCAGTGTAATTGTGTTTATTTTGCTATTATATATATATATATATATATATATATATATATAGGCGCTATATATATCTTATTATTAATACATCATTGGAACGGTACCTCCAGTATGCCTACATGACAAGCATTTTTAGAATATACAGTAAACATATCTTTGACTTATTGCAAAATTATAAAATGAAATTCACCCCTGCTGTCATTCTGGCTTTCACTGTTCAAATGAGATGTCAACCATCAAAATGGGATAAGGGGTTCCAAGGGGTTCTCAAACGGATAGGTTATTAATTTATTTGCCTAATAGTTGCTTAAAATGCTACAATAACATGCCATGTACGGTCTCTCAGCCACCGTGGGTGGCGTAGTAGGGGGCGTGTCGTGTAGTGTCGTCAATTCGCTTTTCATCTTCATTATGGGGTTCTTTTATTTGGGGTTAACTACATTGTCAGAATAAGTGAGAAATGGATTTAACTTCTGTTAGACAGCTATCATACTGAATACATATTTACTGTGAATGTGTGCAAAAATGTATGGCATATGGCTGTCTAACAGAAGTTACATTCATTACTCACTTATTCTGACAATGTACTTAACCCCAAATAAAAGAACCCAATAAAAAGAGTTGTTAAATAATAGTGAAGTCACGTTGTAATAACAATAACTCATCTCTCACGAGTTTTCCTTTTGAGCTTTAACAAAAGCCACTGTGTCAATGTTGTCCTACTTGGGTTGCCGTCCGGAGTTGTCCAATATGGCGGACCATCTCGCACATGCGCACTGCAGATCGGGCAGAGCTGCAGATCGGGTAGTGACACACCCTACCCCTCCGTTTGCGCGTTCACGCGGAGGGTCCGCCATATTGAGGGCTGTTCCAAAGCAACGAGTGTGGAGGGGGAGTGGGCTATCAAGCCCTCAAACAGCGAGTCTGCAGCGGTGCTGACTTGAGACCGGTCTCTACCTGACCGGAGTCACGCTGTGTGTGTCCGACAGGAAACACGCTGTTTACAAGTAATTCCAGCAAACATCCACTGATAAACTACGATGTTAACAACCTCATGATAACCTCATATGTTTTTAACTTAGGATCATACCTGTGTTTAGTTTAGAAAAATGTAAATGTGTGCATTTTATTATAAAGTTGTGTATATTTACAGACCGTTGCAAAAACTAAGAAGCTTATAAACATCAGGTTTAAAACTAAAAGAGCTTTGAAACACAATGAAAGAGTTTTGGAGTTTTATTTGAGTTATTCATTTAAACTTTTTGTCTAAGAGATGCTGATCTGAAACCGTTGTTACACACAGTTACGGCATTTCCTGTTTCTGCCGGAGAGAGGGGAGGCCGTCCCAAAGCTTGCTGCTGTGTTTACTCCCTCCATCTGACAGGAGGGAGCCTCGTTGAGCTGCGAGTGTGTGCTACAGACGGAGTTCACTCCATCACGGAGGGGTAGGGTCGAGGGAGTGGTTTGGGATTGGGCCGAAGAGAAGGGATTAGACGCCGCGGCAGACAGGGAGAATGAAAAAACATGGATACAAATCAAAGAAAACGAAAAGGAAAAGGTGGGTAGCCGAGAAGGCAAGAGAAATAAAGGTGAAGTCACTCGCAGGTGAAGCTTATAAATGTCGCAAATCGACAGACCTTTTTGGCAGCAGCGCTACAAACACTATCAGCAGCAGCTTAGAACAAGTGCAAGATGATGAAGAGAATGATGAGGGCACGAGTTCAGATATACAGCCAGCCTCCTGCGTTCATGATGAGGGACAGAGTTGAGCTGCTGGAAGAACCAGCTCAACTGGCACATACACGTGCAGGGCAAGAGCAAGAGGTGGGTGAGAATTATCCCTTGAACTCAGTGGCGTTTTCTCCTGGAGGCCAAGGGAAGCCAGGCTTCCCCTGTTTTTTTGCATTGTAGTTATAATATTAATAAATAAATAAAAACACTTCGTTTAGTTTCGGTAATTATTCTGCCGGCCCGTCTCTCCCCCATTCTCATTGAGTATTTTACAAAGAGTGAAACAGCGCCCCTCTAGATGTTATGGTGAAACAGTAGATTGCACTCTCTGTTGCGAGAGGAGGCCAGCCAAAATTGGCTTCCCTTGGTGAAAAAAAAATTGAGGGATTGACCAATCAGATGAGGCGCACGTCATGCCTCACAATCCAATCAAATCACATCAACTTCAGTTCGTACTGTAACTGTCATCACTGCCCTTAAAAAGTAGCAAGCAACTGAAGCAAGTGCAATTATGGAGGGTGGAGATTTGGAGTATTTCATCAAAAATAATTGTACTAAACTTCCGCTACAGCAGCAACTAAAAATGAAATCTGATGACAGGCCAATGATCAAACTGGAGCTGTGTACAGAGAGGGAAAAAGGAGTGAATCGGACGTAAAACTTTAAATAATAAACAGCGGATTTCTAACATTTGACATTTCATGTGTCCGGACTGGGTCAGTTTCCAGGGCTGCATTTTAGTCCCAGTCCGCCCCTGCTTTCATCGCACATTTCTGATCAGTTCATCTTTAAGTCACAGTCCACATGTGTGCCAGATCTGAAAAGGTTCCCTCTATGCATTCCTGGGAGAACGAGGCGTACGGACAGACATATGTTTGGAAGTTATTTCTGACGGACAACTCAAACATATTATGCCTCAGGCCGCAGATGTCGCCAGAGAAAGGCATACAAAGTGTGATTTGATTTGTAGGCATTATACACAGCAAGCTGAAGAAAAGGAAAAATAAATGATAGAGCAGTAAGAGAGTGTTTTTCTCACTTCCTGAGGTGCTTGAAGAGAGTCTGCATGGTGTCGTGGTTGCAGACGGGAAGCTGTCGGACCAGATCTTTAATGGACTGAACCCGCTGCTTGTAGTCTGGACTCTCTGCACAACAGAAAACACAACATTTATCAAAGTGAATCATCTGGATTCATCAAAGAGTCTCATGCCTCCTTCTGTTGTTTCACTGACTACTTCCACATCATATGCACATTGTTTTACTTATTCCCAATAAAAGACAATATGAATACTACGCTGTTTACAAAGAGGCTAACGGGTACGGTTTCACAGTTTTCTGGCTCTCCAAAATCCAGGTTCTTTCCGGGCCAACAACCGGGCTGAGTATGCTAAACTAGTGAGAGAATCGCTGGCCAGGGGGCTACAACTACAACAAAATGAACATATTTGACCGTGATTTAATTGTAATACACGTTTCAAAATGATGCCGAAGTAACAACATACTGATACCGGTTAGTAAAAACCATGAATTAATGTTTTGATTAGTCTGCAGACAGACGGCAGGCTAAAAACCTTTTTTAATCCTTTTTTTCTGAATGGAGTTTGGCTACGCTAACGTTGTATATGTTCCGACCGTCCACACTCACAGCAACGGCCTATAGCCTACAGACATAAATAAACCAGCGACTGTATTCGCCATGACACAGACAGTCTGTGGTTTGTACTGGTTTAACTTTTGTCTAGTTTCTGAACAGTTATGAGGAGCTGTGAGCTCTGAGTGCTAACAGCTAAAGGCTGATGTTGGTTTTGTGGTTGTGGTGCAGCTGTGTGTTTCACGTACTGATTGCGCTGATGAAGTCGTGGAAGAGAGCGCAGCTCTCTGAAGTACATCTGTAACGCTCCAGTGATCACATGGAAGTCCTCCCACTTGGAGTCTGACAGGTTCACCTTTGATATATATTTATTTTTGTGCCATGCAGGTTGAAACTGTCACAGAAGAAAAGTGTTGAACTTTCCAAAGAAGTTCTATTTATTGTCTATTTGGCAGAAGTATTATCAGCTAAATGTACTCAGGTATCAAAAGTAAAAGTACTCTTTTATATAAGAGTTGTATTATTATACAATATTATAATATCTTGTTTTCATCATGAGAAAATACATGAGTTTTTTAAATGTTGGATTTGGTCAATATGGAGCACATTTTGGAAAGTGCTGAGTCAATTTGTAAAAAATATATATCATATAAACACATGAATTTGTATAAAAAGCAACTACTTTTGTCAAATAAATGAAGTGCATTAAAAGCCTCTGAAATGTATTGTACAGTGAAAAGTAGATTTTCTCCAGTACATTTTTGAGGTACTTTGTAATTCTACCCCACTACATTTCTTTAATACCTTTAATTCATATGCAGATTTGTATTAATGATGTGGAAGTAAAAGTACCAGAATTATACTTAAGTAGGCTACATTACTTGAGTAAATGTACTAAGTTACTTTCACCATTGTTAACTATGCAACTTTCCTTTTTAGAGGATGGGCTTCCACAAGTATACACATTTAAATATAGTGAAATACTCACCACAGAAAGCTAGTCGTTGCATGGAGGAAGGCAGTTGAAGTTAGACTAGAAAATGCAGAAGAAGCTGAATATTGTAACAGCTGAATGGCGACTGCTTTTAGCTACAAACTGCTGAACTTAGCGGAGAAATGTAGAAAAGTGAAATCATTTGAATGAAAATTGTTAAATGTTATGGCACCTTGGACATTATACAAGAAGAACATCCTTTTTTGTTTTTGAAAGACAAACCTTTATTAATATCCAAACAGTTAATTTGATCACACATCCCATCAGTAAAGTCTGTTCAATGATTTCATGATCAGTTTCACTTCATCCACACAATCTGAATCTCAGCTATTTCAAACAGAATCAGAAATGATTTACTTATTGATTATTATCATGATAATTAATGTTCTATAAAACATCAGAGTGCCCACTTTCTATTTGGACAACAACAACAACAACAACAACAACAACAACAACAATGAGTCTGCAAAACAATAACTGTAATATTATACAATGTATTTCCCAAACAAAGACTCTAAGCTATTGACAGGAGAATAATAAATGATTGACTTATTGATTATGATCATGACAGTAAGTAATATCATTTTAAATAAACATGTAATGATGAAATAAGTGTTATAACCATCTGGGGAACTCATTTGTTCATTAATTTGGGCAACAATAATATATAATCTGTCAAAATAATACATGTGATTATAAATGTCTCTATTGTTGAGAAAGTGGCCAGAATAAAATATCTCCAATGAAAGAAGCTCTGGTGCTTTCTCTCTGAAGACTCAAGCTTCAAGAGAAACAACAACATACAAATATATCAATATTCAACACATATTTAGAGCAAAGTTTACATTTCCATGCAGAGAAATATGAGTAGAGGTCAACAGAAACCCTCCTGAGCAGTGACAGCCTCCATGGCTAAACAGACACAGGAAGGAGCGCCGCCTAAAGAAACTCCAACATCTACAGAACAACTCATGAGAAGATGTTAAAGCACATCCCATAATGTTTGATTGACAGCTGATCTCTGTGCAGTGAAGACATGAACAATCAGCTCTCAGCAACAATGATGGACACAATGAGTTTAGGAAGTAGAAGAGTTCCTCAAATGTCTTCAGGCTATTTCAGTTTACAAAACTCAGCTGTGGTTCCATAATAAAGCCAAACTCCAGAAGGAAGCGGCTGAGTGAATGTGGTCTGGACTCTGTGGAGGAGAGTCATGGTTTCAGAGACGCTGTAGAAGGACAGAATACCTGCTCTGTGATCCAGGTACACTCCTACTCTGGAGGACAGAGGACCTGCGACGTTAGTGTGGATACTGTTGTGACGAAATGAATTACTGTGTCGGAAACACTCTAAGGACCAAGATTTGTCATTGAGTCCAAATCCACATTTACCCCCACCCCCTGCTCTGCTGATATTCTTGTATGCGACTGCTACATAAACTGCTCCCCCTTTCCACTCCACCTCCAAGTAACAACGTCCAGTCAGACTCTCTCTACTCAGGACCTGAGGATAATCAGTGAATCTGTCTGGATGACTAGAATAAGACTGTAGTTGTCTCATGTATGTTGCTTTTCTGCCCCCCTCAGATATTAACAGCTGTGTGTTTGCTGTGTTTGGATCCAGTGTGATCTCCTGTGAATATGTTAAGAACCCAGCTCTGGAGGTGGGCTCTGCTGCTGGCAGTAAAACATCCACTTCAGTCAGTGTGACGTTTGTCCATTCCTCTCTCAGGACGTCCTGTAGTTTGTCTCTGACTGCTGACAGGGCCGCCGTCACGTCCTCAAAGTAGCTCAGAGGACGGATGTTGATGCTGGAGGAGTGTGTAGCTTCACTGAGGGCTGACAGTGAGGGGTAGCTGTGCAGAAACTGGTTGTGATCCTCTGTGTGAGACAGCAGCTTCAGCTCAGCGTCTCTCCTCTTCAGCTCAACCATCTCCTGCTCCAGCTTCTCCTGAAGCTCTTTGACTCGACTCACTTCTCTCTTCTGCTGGGATCTGACCTGCTGCTTCACATCAAAGCTTCTTTTCTCCATGAGACGGATCAGCTCAGTGAACGTCTTCTCACTGTCCTCCACTGCTTTATCAGCAGAGCCATTGACGGCCTCCACCTCCTGCTGAAGCAGCTTCACCTCCTTCTCTCCGTCCTGGATTCTCTGCTGGATGTTTAGTCGACTCCCCTCCAGCTCTCTCTGCCTCTCAGTCCTCTCTGCTGCAGCTGACACCGTGTCGTGGCCTTTGTGTTCCTCCACAGAGCAGAGATAACAGATACTCTGCTGATCAGTGCGGCAGAACATCTTCATCACCTCGTCGTGACGAGAGCAGATGTTCTCCTGGAGCTTCTTGGAGGGCTCCGCCAGCTTGTGTTTCTTTAATGGAGCTACGTCATAATGAGGCTGGAGGTGTTTGTCACAATAAGAGGCCAGACACACGAGGCAGGACTTACAGGCTCTCCGTTTTCTCCCAGTGCAGACATCACAGGCCACATCTTCAGCTCCAGCATAGCAGAGATCAGCAGGAGCAGCTTGGAGTCCAGTCTTCTTCTTCAGCTCCTCCACTAAAGCTGCTAACATGGTGTTTTTCAGCAGGACAGGCCTCGGTGTGAAGCTCTGCCTACACTGAGGGCAGCTGTGGGTCTTCTTCTCATCCTCTCCATCCCAGAAGCCTTCAATACACTTCATGCAGTAGCTGTGTCCACAGGGAGTCGCCACCGGATCCTTCAGTAGATCCAGACAGATCGAACAAGAGAAGGTTTCCCGGTCCAGCTGAACTCCTTTCTGCTTCATTTCTCCTCTCAGTGGCAGCGAGTGTCTGAGTTTCACTTCCTGAGAACTGAAACTATGTGAGCTGTGATCTGAACAGCATGTGTGTGTGCAGTGAATTTGGCCTATCAGCTCTTACTTTACCCACGTGTTGGTTACACCCATCCTCCTCAGTGTGGATCTAAAGGGGAGGAACCAGGAAATACAGAGTGGAGCTGGCTGTGTCTGAGAGCAGGAAGAAGAGGGAGGGCTTATCAAACTCTGACTCATTCCAGGAGGAGGAGCAGCGCTGACACTCTGAACTGTTTCCTCATTTACAAACGGAGCCTCGCTTTCAACCTGCTCTACATTTGAAGAGAGCTTTTAGTTGTAAAATAAGTGGGTAAACTTACAAATTCTGCAGGGGATCAAATACTTATTTCCTCTACTGTAAATGTATAGCCTCAATGTCCTGAAATAGCTGAATAAGTTAATAGTTGAATATTTTGTGCAGCTGAAAGTAGGCTGAAGGAGTTATCAGATGTTCTTTTGAAGGGGTGTGTGGCTTTGGAGAGTGTGAGGTGGAGAAACACTAAATGAGATATCTGACATCAATAAATGGGAGGCTCACCCATAAAAACAATGGTTAGGGAGGCAAAGGCCTTTGGTGTGTGTGTGTGTGTGTGTGTGTGTGTGTGTGTGTGTGTGTGTGTGTGTGTGTGTGTGTGTGTGTGTGTGTGTGTGTGTGTGTGTGTGTGTGTGTGTGTGTGTGTGTGTGTGTGTGTGTGTGTGTGTGACAGATGAATACAATTTAGAATAAAATAAATCTAATATATTGAATGGGAAGTCAGATATGAGATATGAAGTGTAATTTATCAAATATGAAGTCAAGGTGTTACTGAGACTTGTGACCTACTGTCTTACACTGTAGTCACATTGTAATTTTGTATGTCAATTATAAAAACTAAAACATATCTATAAACTTCTGCTTCCTAAATCAATCGTGAAAGGAGAAGTTGTAAAGGTTTGACCTATATTGTATGTTGTGTCTTGTCCCTTATGGTTTATTTTTTAATTGTGAGCTATAAAGGATTAAATACAGGAGCAGCATGCAGATATTTGAACACGCATGATCATCAGACAAGTCACCTTCTTGATCCTCACACTGAAATACATAGAGCTTATGTAACGCAGATGTAAATGTTTGCATAAGTAAAACAACACATATCTCCTTTGGAAATATCTCTTATCAGAGGTCTTTATTCCAGTTTGGTAAAGCCAACAGTTACTCTCCAAAGTTACATTCAAACAATCTTTCATTTACCTGAACCTCAGGTAAACCTCCACGTCCCCAGTTCAGACCTTTATTCCTCTGTTGGTCTCACAACGATCACAACAATAGTGATTTCTCCCTCTTATCATATTCTTTAACATTCCAAGCATACATATTTATATTCACTATTTGTACAATATATTGTCATCGAGTCCATTCATCCGTCCACCCCCCCCTCGTCCACATGCACACACACAAACACTGTACAGATGTATCAATGGAATCATGGTTCAAAGA